GATACACGCCCAATCTCCTTAATCGAGTCCACAAGAAAAGTCTTCACAAAAATAATAAACACCAGGTTATCAGAAATTATAAGTAAACATAACATTCTCACAAAAGCGAGTTTTGCAGGGCTCGCCAATCAGAGTACAATGAAACCATTAGCAATTGCAGTGTCAACCTTAAACACTGCAAAAAATCTGAACAATGAGCTATGGATGGCCTCCTTTGACATAGCGAAAGCATTTGACTCAGTCAATCTCAGCAGTCTAGACACAGCTCTCGGAAGAATCAAAGTCCCAGCCAAACTTGTCAATATCCTTTATAACCTTTTTTATAAATGCAAGCTCTCAGTTGTGACAAATTTTGGCAAAACTAGAGAAGTAGAAGTTACGAAAGGATTAGATCAAGGAGAAACTCTTTCGCCACTTCTATGGACTATCTTTTATGACCCTATGGTCTCAACAATTTTTAGTTACTCCAGGCACCAAGAGATCACACATAACATTCTCACTTACATGGACGATGTTCTCCTAACAGCACAATCCTTAGAGCAACTACAAGAGCTTACAGATATATTCTGTTCCTTCCTCTCTCTGAACAACATCAAATGCAATTCGGATAAAACAACACTCATTACCACACTAGTCGACAAACACCCCCGAAGAGATGCAGGCTTGAAAGTAATGGAATTAGTGGTTAATCCTCTCAGTAGCAAGACCCCCCTCTGCTACCTAGGCAACTTCTTCACGGAAAACACAAACAAAGTATCTCTAGCCGACCCAGTATCGAGAGCATGCATCAGATCATAGAAGCATGCCACAAACAAAGATGGAATGGCCCAATAACTAAACAGGTGCTAGATTGGATCATTCCCAGCAAACTTGACTATGCTCTTCTTTCAAGCTCACTTTCCAAAGGTCACATACAAAAGCTTTAGGCCAAAGCAAACAACCTAATCAAAAGAAGGCTAAGAGTAGGAAAAACTATATCAGATAAAATAGCGTATTTACAAGCTGGCCTCAACCTTAAAAACTTCTCAGACAGACAAGACCTCACGCTAGCAAAGCTTCTAATAGTGAAGCTAAGCAATATTAAAATGCAAGAAGCTGTAAAAACAAAAATCAATTCTCTCCAGATCTGCAACGCCATTTGGCTCTGCCCATTATACTATCCAAAAGTGTTCCCAGAAACATGGATTATACAAGCAGCAACATCATGCAAAAAGTACCAAATCAACATATGTCCAGCCAGCTGTCCATTCAACCATGCCAAAGGTTAGCAACCCTTGGGGCTGCATTTTCTCTTTAAAAACAAGTACTTGAGATGTCAAGCCTTAGGTCTATACAGAGGCAACATAAAGTTTCTAGAGGACTTACTAGTATTTCGAACAAGCAGCAAACTGTCCTGGCACGAGTTTAATACACACTTCTGCCCAACTCCAAAAGGACCTATTCCTAGTTGGTTCACCAATATCAATATCACACCCAGTTATAAAGGCACCTCAACATGTATTCCCAACATGAAGGCCAGATTCTGGGCTCATATCTTTAACAACAAGCTGAGCTTCATCAAAGCAAGAGCCAATCGCAATAGTAGACAGCCTCTTATCAAAAGCAAGCACTATAAACTAGAGGCAAACAAAACTCTCAAGCAGTGCTGTTGTCATAATAGCACACACCAAATGAACATACAAATTGAGGAAACAATGTCGCTTTGGACATACAAAGCCAATAACAAACATTGCTAACATTGCTTAGCCAACTTCACGGAGGAGATTTGGTCCCAGCTACAACATAAAACAACCCCAATAACAAACCTAACAGTAGAAATCAGTTTCCAAGAAAACATGAATCAAAGGTGTGCCTAAACTCCAACACAATAGAAGATATAAAACAGGTCGTCAATCTAGATCATCTATTCTCTCAGTTCAATCTGATAGCAAGAGAGGAGTTGCTGGAGGTACATGGATACAATACAAGCATGGCATTCCATTCTAATAACCCACAACCAATAACATTCTCCTAGGAATCCTGGGACTGGTGGGAGCAGCAAATAATCAATCATACATCTCAATCAATACGTCCAGAAAAATTGAGTTAAAAGTTCCAGAATACTCCAATCAAAGAGTTAAAACATCATATAGTTTTCTGATAGGAAATATCAACACCATCTGTAATCAAAAAAATATCAAGCTAAGGCTTGAAAAGAACTCAATATCTCCAGAGCAGCAAGATATTGAAGCAATCATAGGAATCGACAATATAATAGAGCCAACAGTTTATACTACAGGACCAAGAATCAAAAACAAATGGGGTTATAGCCCAGTAATATGGATCAAAAAAATACAGCACACCTTCAGACTCACTAATATCATAAACAACTCTTCAATCAGGAAAAGATGGGACGCTAGTATAAAAATTTCCAATTTTCAGACTCTGACAAAAGCGAACAAACTTCTAATTAAAAAGGACAAGGTAAACTGCTCCTCACTACTAGCCTTCAGGACAAAAATGATCAGCAGTTTACTCCCCACTAGACAACTCCTTCACGAAAGATATCCCAACATGTACGATGACAACTTGTGCCCCAAATGTCTCACCGAGACAGAGATCCAGAGTCATATTTTCGAATGTTACAAAAGTTTACCTGCATATAGAGAGATCGAAGCCAAACTCAAAAAAAACTTGATGAAACTCTCAAGCAAAAACAGCTCAAAAAAGAAGTCAGTCAATGCAAACAGTCAAATACAGAGAATAAATCTAAGAAGGAAAGCAGGATTGGACAAAGTTGCGTGTGGAATGACAGAAATAGATTTTCACTTGTCAACAAAGAGCCATGCCAAATTTGCAAATAAGGCCTTAGCACTACTTTACACACCAATTTGGGTATCCAGGTCAGCAACAGCCAACACATCAATAGCTTCAGGAGTTAAATGGAGCAGCTATCCTCACACAACCACAAACAGCAACAGAACCACTACGCAAAGAAATTCAGCAAAAGAGTTATCATTGATAAAGCTAATTATAGAAGCAACAAACTTACAAACAGACTCAAGTAGCAATCCACTCAAAACACAAACACTTGTATTAGCTCTAGAAGGGCATTAATTATTTAGCACTAAAACTAATCTAAAGTACATTAAGTGTATCAAGGATAGTAATAGTTAGCATCGTAGATAGGTTAATATTAATTTGTGTAATACAGTATATAAAGATATTTGATGTAACTCGAGTATAATTTATATATCAATAAAGTTTTGCATCTGATGCCCTTTTACGATAAAA